AATAATTAATAATTTTGATGGTTATATATATAAATTCGTTTCAAATTATACGTATATATATATATATTTATAGTTAATGTACGTTTAAAAAAATAATATAGTTATAAATTTGTACTTATACGCTGTATTTTTATATTTTGAGTGCTTAGTGTAACTTTTGGGTCGGCGCAGTAAAAAGGTTTCGTTTTTTTTTTTATTAAAAAAAAAACTGGTAGAAGCCGAGTACGTGTCGTAAATATCGATCATTGATTACGCATAATAAAGTGTAACAGTGAAATCCTGCAATTAATCGAATAATGATGAACTCACGTTCTGATAGTAACCTATCAATTAAAGACTCGACATACGTTGTTTCAACTGTAGTAAAAAATATAATGACTGATTTTCGAATTTCGAGGCCAAACTTTTTTTCCACACCAAAGAAAGGTTAGCCTTTATCCTAATTGCTTTACATTTCAATTTCATTAAAGTTTTTAAAATTATATAAGGCGATCTTTCACTCTTTAAAAAAAAAAAAATTTTTTTTATTGTGGCTTCGCGATCTTTTATTTCGGTTGTTTAAGATTGTTAAGTTAGTGGAAAAGAAAAATTATATAGTTTATATGTTAACCATAAAGTTATTCTCTTTATTTCTTTGTCAATTTTAAAAACTTAAGGAGAGAACTATGAATTACGAGCAGACCTAAATAGTGAATACCGTGACCGAAGAAAAGATGCGATTAAAAAAGTTATTGCAAATATGACTGTTGGAAAAGATGTTTCAGGTTTATTTCCTGACGTCTTGAAAAATATGCAAACGGACGATTTAGAACAAAAGAAATTAGTATACTTATATTTAATGAACTATGCAAAGACACAACCTGAATTAGTAATTTTAGCAGTAAATACTTTTGTAAAGGTAAATTTTTTTCAATGTTATAAAATAAATTGGAATATTATAAACTTTTTTTTTTAATTTTTAATTGTCTATTTAAAGGATACGGATGATAGTAACCCATTGATTCGTGCGCTTGCCATTCGAACGATGGGATGTATCCGTGTTGAAAAAATTATTGATTATCTTTGTGAACCCTTGAGGAAGTGTCTAAGAGTATGTTATGTTTCTATACTATTTATTTATATCTCAATTATGTATTTAATTATATGCATTTTCCTATGTTTAGGATGAGAACCCTTATGTTCGAAAAACTGCTGCTATATGTGTTGCGAAATTATATGATTTAAATCCTAACTTAGCAACTGATAATGGATTTGTTTCAGTTGTGCAAGATATGGTATCGGATGCTAATCCGATGGTACAATATCATTTTTGTTAATATTTTATTTAAAGTTTATTGAATCTTGTTTAAAAATAATAATAATGATTTATTATTTAGGTGGTTGCGAATGCTGTTACAGCATTGCAAGAAATAAATGAATCTTCCATCACCAAAGATATTTTTATAATCAATGGACCAACACTTACAAAGTTATTGGTGGCACTTAAGGAATGTACAGAGTGCGTTTAATTACTTATTATATATTTATTTAGAAACAAATTAATACAATTAGGTTTTATGTTTTTTTTAAAAACTTTAATATTTATTTTTTAACGACTTTAAAAGGTGGGGTCGGATAGCTATTCTTGCTGCATTGGCTGAATATAAACCAGCAGACTCTAAAGAAGCTGAACATATTGTTGAACGTGTTGTTCCACAATTTCAACATGTAAACGGAAGTGTAGTATTGTCCGCAATTAAGGTATTAAATTGACACGTATATACTCAAAGTGTTGATTAAAGAAGGAAAATAATAATTTCATTTACATTTTTTTAGGTGGTAATGATTTATATGAGAACAATAAATAATGATGAAGCAATACGG